TTTTTTATCCACATCAACATTATAAACTCATATGTATCATTTTATCAAGTTTGTACCATAATTCCTCAAGAAATTTGATCAAATCATCAAAAGGGCAAAATGGTCAAAATTAGGGTTTTGATTGAGAAAGGTAATTTTTGATTTTTGACCTAGAAAATGGTTAATTGATTTGAGGCATGATCTCAAGAGTTCAATTGCATCATTTTGACCTAATGGCATGACCCAAAACATTGCTTAAGATTAATTGGATTGATTGTGAATTTTCAGTCAACTGATCAAAAATCAATTGTACACTAAAAAGTCAAACTTTGACTTTTTGGTCAAGATCAAGTGTCAAAGATCACAATTCATCAAAACATGTCAAAATATGAAACTTATTGATCAATAAATCAAAAATTCAAGATTTCATTTTGAAAAGTCAAAGTTTTCTAACTTAGAAATTTTTCTAAGTGTTTAAAACTTCATGTTTTTTCACAACTTTGAGCTAATTTTTCACCATGACGCAAGATGATTCAGAAGAAACTTTCAACATGAAATCTACAACATTGCTTTACACAAATTCTTATAAAAATTCTTGGATCTCAAGTTATTAATTCATAAAGTCATGGTCTTGGAATTAAACACTTAGTGAAATTTTGCCCTAGTTTAGGCAGGATTTTGACCTAACTTCATGGGAGTTTTTCATATAGTTCCAAGGGGAATTTTCAAAATTGATTCAAATAAGGGTTGTAGAGCACATTACAAGCTTTCCAAAATATCCAAGAACTCCTTGAGATCATTCTCGAGCGGGGAGAATCAAAGAGAGGAAGTTAGGGTTTTCAAACTTGAATTACAAGTCATTTTTGATGAACACATGAACCAAATCCCTGCTAGGCTGCATAATATTTGCTTTGCAGGCCTCAAACTTGTTTGTCACTCCATAATTAAATGTTTACACAGCTGTTAGAGCTTTGATCCAAGCAATTGAGCTATTATCCAAGTTGCATTTCCATTAATGACACAAAGATTACATTGCCATTCTTGTAAAGCAAGCTTTTTGCATAAAGTCCATTATTGAGCCTCTAACTTGTTCCCTCTGATCACACTCCATCCACAAAGTCAGAAGCAAGTCTGTTTAAAGCATAACCACTCTATCTTAGAAAGTATACAAGGCTTTGAAACTTGAATTTCTCAAAAATCACATGTTATGCACAAACTTGTGATTTTGAATTTTGATAAACAACAATTCTCCAAACTTGTTGCTTATAAATAGAGTCACTATTTGTGAGCTAGGACACGAGCTCAAGCAACCTGAAACACTCCCAAACTCCCTCTAGCCATAAATTGCACAAAAAACTCCATTGATACACAGTTCTGACCTTAAACTTGTATCTCTCATTTCTCTCGTGCGTTTTCCCTCAAATTCATTCCTAAAGCTTCCTTACATCAAATACAAACCATCCATGACCCTGTTTCATAACTGTAACTCCATCTTCATCAACCTCCATAACCAAAAATAGAGATCCGCAAGTTAACTTCTCCAGACCATTTCAGCCACCCATTGCTCAACCTAATCATTGCATTAGCTTCCTGGGAACTTGAGGAAGCTAACCTGATCATTGCAGCACCTTGAATCAAGCCCATTTGCATTTCACGATTTCCAGTTTTGAGGTATTTTTCTTGAACTTCTATCTTCATATTTAGGCATTGTTAGACTTGCATTTATGAAGATAAAATGTAGATATCATTGCCCTGAAACTATACATGTCCATAGATTTCATTTATTTTGATTGAGCTAGGAGAATTTTGAGTTTGAACTTTCTGAAATATTTAGGTCGGAATTTGGTACTTTCAAAAAATTTCATTCATCTTTGATTTATAGTTCATGATATTTATATGGTTGGATTCGTATGAAAAAATGGAGCAATTTTCATGTTTATATTTTTGCAAATGCTTGAGAAATGAACAAGTTGTAGGGCTTCTGGCTGGAGGTTGAAAATGAAGTGTATTTATGGTAAGATTTGTGTTATATATTTGTTGTCTTACATAAGTTAATGGATGTATCACCATCCCAGTGGTTAAAGCGCGCGTCTGTCACCCCTTGGACTTGGGTTCGAGCCCCATCGTCCGTTTTTACTTCTTTTTTTTATACATATTTTCTATTTTCCTTGTGTTTGTTTGAATAGGTGGAGCCTCCAAATTGAGTCTATTGTTTTTTTTTCTTTTACTAACCCTGACTTACTTGTGCACCCTTGGCCCAATTTCTTTTATTATTTTCTTTTTTTTCTTTAATATTTCTTTATTATTATTACTATTATTATCATTATTATTATTATTTTTATTAATATAAAAAATCAAAAAATATTTTATTTATTATTTAAACTTATTTATTTTATTTTCTTATAAAAAACAAAAAGACTAAAAACATTTTCTTAAATAAATTAATTTCTTTTTTAATTAATAAATATTTAGACTTAGGTTTATTTATTATATTATTTTCTTTTAAAATCAACTTAGAACTTAGATTTCTTTTAATTAATATCCATATTTTTTTTTTACTAATTTAAAAACCTTTTCATAGATAAAAACCCTAAAAAACGTGCTTTCTTTAAATTAATTTATTTTAGTAATTTAATCTTAATTTTCTTATTTTTAGTTAATTATTTTATTTTAATTAGGTAAAAAAAACCCTTCTCATGAAAAACCAAACAAAAATTACACTTTCTTTTTTCCATTTGCATTCTTGCATTTTATTTATTTTGTACATTTATTCAAAATTCAATATGGTTGTAAAATTTATTTAGGTTTAAATTCTTGCAATATTCCCCATTTGTAATTTGTACACCCCTCTCCCCTAAGTATTGTAATAGCGTAGTAATTTTAAATTTTGCAATTTATCGCTTTATATACAAATGCTAGTAATTAGAGTTTCCTATGGAAACACTAAAACTAATCAATAGAAAACCCTAATCAAAGACAAATCAAGCATGTAAATCAATACACTTGCACACATACACCCCCTAGGGTAAATCCACTTGACTGCCTTACAAAAATTGCCATATTATGCATGCAAGGTATCTTAGCAAAGATAAGCAAAATACAAGATCATAGTCTCTCGATGACGCTATCTATGTTGCCTTTTAAAATGATCTTAGTCCCTAAAGAAAAATGCTAAGATATCTTGCAACATTGCTAATCATGGTTATACGATGACCCTTGCCCGTCCCTTTTACATCCAAAGATAGCGTTACTTACCAAATCAATGGTAAGATAACAATGTCAAAAGAAAAAAAGGAAATGAACATGAAAGACTTTTGAGTAGGTAGAATGTTTCTAGTTACTTGCTCCATTTCAAAACAAAAGCATCTTTGCTATTTTCAAAACAAACACCAATACTTCCAAAACATCTTTCAAAACTTGAAAACGTTTTCAAAAGATCAACACCTTTGTATACATTCTTACGAACGAGAATCATTACAAAGTTTGCCTAAACAATGATCTCTTTGCAAAATACTTTCAAAAAACACACAAAGCACATTTTCAAACAAAAGCAAGTGATCTAGCAAGTAACTAAGAGCCCATGAAAAACCATAGATGAAAAGGGTTCTAATATCTTCCCTTTTCATAATCTACCCCTCGAACTCAAGAAACAATCTCAAAGGTCTTTCATGTGCTTTTTCATCTTTCCTTTTGAATAAAAGAAAAGTCGGTAGCAACTCTTGCTAACCGCAACATTTATGATCAAACGCAAAATACCTTAGTCAATTCTTCCACCATATCACAAGATGTTGTATGGTGTAATCCCATGACTATGTAATGATACAAACATGAATGAAACTTTCATTCTTTTCCAATTTTGTCTTTTTGTGCATTTTATATGTATGGTATGGACATCTACGTTAAATGGAATGAATGATGTAATGGATAAAAGATATTTTATGAATTTTGCAATTTGTCCTTTATGTCAATTTGTTGACTTTGTTTAACCTCGTGGATGAGAGGAAAGTGTGATGATAAATGTGATCATGTATGTAATGCACCATGGTGTAATTACCATGTCATGAAAAAAGAAGTTATTTTGAAACTTTTGTCTTCTATTCAAAAAGAAGAAATTTCGTAACTTAATGAAAAAGAAATATGAAATGAGGTCATGCATGAGGCAACATAAAATGAAAACAAAATATTTTGTGAAAATTTTACTTTGATTTATCCTGACTTTCATCTCTTTTTATTTATTATTATTTTGTCAAAAAAGAAAAGTGAATGACAATTACTTTTGATTGTTTTAAAAAAATGTAAAAATATGAAAGTAATACTAAATTTTAATTGATGCAAAAACGGATAAATGGAAGAAGCATTTTAAAATTGATAATAGTAATAAGGAAAAAATGCAAACAAATTGTGGAAGAACATAAGAAATTATTTTAAATAGTGCCAAAATATGGACTATAATGAAAGTTAACAAAAATAAATAAATAAATATATAAAAAGGTTAATTGACATACATTGTCAGTATAATTTTTTTTACAATATATCACGTGTAATATTTTAAAACTAATTAAAATAAAAATAAAATAATTATAAAAATTTGACGATTATGATTAACTGATCGTATAAAACTGTTTTTCACCGTCGATATATATCAATTAAATTTATATATAAATATGATCAAATAAAATAAAAATATTCAGATAAAATAAAAATACAGACATAAACTTTGTAAATCAATCACTCTCTGTTGAAAATTTACTCTACCAATTCAAATCTTCGTCTCTCATTGTATTACTGAACATTCTAGTCCCATAAAAAACAATAAGTATATTTATGCATTACTATACTATTTTAGTAATCAAATTAACCAAAGAAGCGTCATTCTATTGAATTTATTAGTCAAGAATATAGACCACGTATCTACTCTTTTATATGGTTGAAATTATTGATAAAGAAATTAATTAACTCTATATATATCTTACATAAACCTTGAAATATATCATTCCATATCTCACCATACACTAGACACTATGTCTAATCCAACTTTGCAACCACCATCAACAACAACCGATCCCTACCAATGGATCAAAATCCAACATAATCCCAACGATACACTCACTCGAAATCTTGAAGATCCACACACTTCACCTTCATCAGATCCCACTCTCCCAATCTCTGTTCTAACCAAAGATATCACCATCAATAATTCAAAGAAAACGTGGCTACGATTATTCCTACCTAAAAAAGCAACTGTTTCAAACCAAAACAACAAACTTCTACCACTCATTGTTTTCTTTCATGGAAGTGGCTTCATCGTAACAAGTGCAGCCTCCACTCGATTCCATGATTTTTGTGTCGAAATGGCTGAAACTGTGGAGGCTGTGGTCGCATCGGTAGATTATCGTCTTGCGCCGGAGCACCGGTTGCCAGCGGCATACGATGATGCTATGGAGGGACTGAGTTTGATAAGATCTAGTGAAGATGAATGGTTGACTAAACATGTTGACTATTCTAAGTGCTTTATAATGGGGAATAGTGCTGGAGCTACAATTGCATACCATGCAGGACTACGTGTGGTTGAAAATGTGAAAGATCTTGAACCGTTGAAAATTCAAGGGTTGATATTGCGTCAACCATTTTTTGGCGGGACCCAGAGGACTGAGTCTGAGGTGAGATTAGAGAATAATCCTCACTTTCCATTGTGTGTTAGTGATTTGTTATGGAAATTAGCATTACCAATTGGAGTTAACCGTGATCATGAGTATTCCAATATAACGGTTGGGAATGATGTTGGTGAAAAATTTGAGAAGATTAAGGATCAAGGGTGGAAGGTGCTGGTGAGTATGAACGGTGGGGATCCACTGGTGGATCGCAGTAAAGAATTGGTGAAATTGATGGAGGAAAAAGGTGTGGAAGTGGTGATGGATTTTCAAGAAGATGGTTTTCATGGTGTTGAGTTTTCTGAGGCATCGAAGGCAAAGAATTTCATCGAATTGGTGAATGGTTTCGTTTCCTCTTTCTCTTCTTAGGTCAACAACTATGCACAATGACAAGCAATAAATGTTTCATTTGCCATCTCAATTATTGTCTTATATTTGAACATGTACTATGGAACTATTATTAATATAATTAAATAAACACGAGTCACTATTATAATGGTAATGTGACTTTAGCTTGTTATTTTTTTGTTATAAACTCTTATGTGTTGTCAAAATAGATGCATTTTTATCGTTTTGAATTAAATAAAACAAATATGGATTTCTTGAAAAAATTGAATATTTGAATGAAACTATAAGAAAATAAAGAGAGAAGTTATATTTTCCAAAGCAATGGTGTATCTTTACATTAATCAAATGGTGGTATTTATTCTACTTAGCACTATAATTAGAGAAAATGGATGATGCACTAATTGTGTAAATTATTTTTACACTGTCAACTAATGAAAATCATGTATTTTGTCGAGTTCGATTATAAAATTTAAATTATTTGTATGATTTGATATTTTAAAATATTTTGATTTAATTTGTGTGTAATACTTCTTTACACTAACCGTGCATTACAATTAAACTCTAATAATTATTACATGAATGTAATAATTTATATTATTATTCTAATTTAACATTGTAAATAGAACAATACTATTTTAAGTTGACACTTTGATAGATAATTTACATTACTATTTTAAGTTGATATTTTAGATAATACTATTTCAAAATAATAATAATAGTTTTCTAATTTTAAGTTGACAGAGAGTATAATGTTGTACTCTTTCTCTCTTTGATATATTTACCATAGTGCTTCATTGAAGTCTTGTAGAAGAAAATCCTATGAGAACATATGTCGCCTTGTTAAAAACTTTATTAGAAAAAAGTCATTGGGTTAAATATGTTAATAAGGAAGAAAGAGTACAACATTATGCTCCCCCTCCACCAGACATATAGTTCTTCTTCAAAGATTTTGAAGGTGGCCCAATATTTTGTACATGTTCTTAAAAACTGATGTAGGGAGTGTCTTTCTGAAGAGATCTGCCACATTATCACTCGAACGAATATATTGAAAATCAACCTCTTTATTTCTTTCGAGTTCTTATGTGAATGAGAAGAACTTTTGAGGAATATGTTTGGTTCTATCACTTTTGATGTGACTTTCTTTCATCTGGATAACACATGCAACATTGTCTTCATATAAAATTGTTGGATTCTTATCAGTTGGTAAACCAGGCGCTCCTTGGACATGTCGAGTCATCGATCTTAACCATCTAAGTAATTTGGTTGCTTCATGAAGGACAATTACTTCAATATTATTTGAATAAGTTTCTACAAGTGTTTTCTTTTGAGATCTCCATTATATTGTAGTGCCACCATATGTATACATATTTAGTCTGTGATTTAGCATTATGTGAATTTGACAAATACCATGCATCTGCATAACCAAGTAAAACTGGTTTTGTATTGTTAGCATAAAAAAAACCAAGATTATATGTACCTTGGAGATATCTGAATATATGCTTTATTCCTTTCTAATGTCTTTTTGTATGACATAAATGAAATCTTGCTAGTAAGTTCACTACAAAAGCAAAACCAGGTCTTGTACGGTATCAAGGCACATAAGTGCCCCAATGGCACTGAGGTATGATACTCTAGAGCCAAGATCTTCTTAATTATCTTCCTTAGGTTTAAATGGGTCATTTTCAATATTTAATGTTCTACCCATCATTGGAGTACTCAAAGGGTTTGCTTTATTCATGTTAAACTTTTCGATACTCTTTTTGTATAATTTGATTGATGTACCAATATACCATTTTTATTATACTCAATTTGTAAACCAAAGCAAAATCTGGTTTTTTCCAAATATTTCATTTCAAATTCTTTATTTAAGTAATATCTTGCTTCCTTAATTTTTCTATAGTTCCAATGATATTTAAATCATCAACATAGTAAAACAATCGGTTGAAATAATTGGAAATCAATAAAGTCTCCATTGAACGTTTTTTATCTCGCGGAGGAGAAAGGTGAACATCGAGTAAACTCGAGGGGGTGAAATCAATATCAAACGACCGATAGATACGGGTAAGGGAGTTGATTACACGAGGGGAAGGTATTAACACCCCTCACGTCCGTGGTACTCCACGGAATCCACTCTTGTTATCTAATCTAAAGAGTGTGTCAAATCTAAGTCTAAGGTTTAAAACTAAAAAGGAATGCATGCAAAATAAAACACGGGGAAAAGAAGAAAGATTTTACAAAGTTTTGCTCGATTAGGCCCTTCTACAAAGTGCCTACGTATCCCTTTAAGGAAACAGAGCGTCGTAGTTCGGCTCACTAGTTTCCATTTGTTTTGTGTTCTTTAATTGAAAGATGTTATGTTTCGCATTCTACCAGTGATCGACCTTTGGAGACTCACGCATCTGTAGCATAAAGGAACTAACATGCTCTTACCCGGAGGTATTTTCAAAAGAAAAATGCCCGAAAGTGGATAATGCTACATTCACAACTCCAGCAAGTAGACATAGTGCAACCTGACATTTGGGGAATTACGCGTCGTATTGCATGAAGCGGAATTAACACATCCTTTTAAAATTTTCCAAGAAAGGCCCGAAGGTAGAAAAAGTTTGAATTGGTTGATGTTTTTTTACCTTGAAAAAGGATTTGCAATTTGAACTGTAATAAAGTTCGGACATGGAATAAAGCAAGTGTCAGTCTAAACCGATTCGCTTTACCCCATAGGACTCAATTGTATATGATTCACATCTTTCGTTACTAGATGTTTTATGAGTTTCAAAGAAAAAGAGGTTTTAGTTTTAATGCAAACATGCAAAAAAGGGAAGAAAGAAATCTAAGGGAGACTAACCTAGTTCTATTCCTAATGTTATCATACAATGATGGTCCTAGAGTTGGGATTAATAAAAGGGAAACATCTACCTAATGTTAGCATGCATGGATAATCTTCATAGGGTCTACTTAGTTCGATCTAACCAAGAAAGAACTAATAATCCTATGGGGAATATGTGATCAAACAATATAGGGAAAACATAGCAATCAAAAACTTAACCAAGCCAAGAATGCAAGCACACAACGCTTGAGGAGTATCCACTCACTCAAGTAGCACACACCTAACCATGACATCGCGTTGTCAAGGTAGGATAAAGGAGAGGGAATAAAACCTAGCAATGATATCAACTCACCAAGGAAGGATAAGGGAACGAGAAACCTAACCAGGATATCGCATCATCAAGGTAGAATGGGAAAACTTCCTGACCATAGATATCTTATCATTTAGGCAAGAAGGGGGTAATGAAAGTAAATCTTAACCAAGGTATCGTATCACCGAGGCAAGAAGTAAAGAAGGGGGAAATCGACTCTTTACCAAGAAATCAAATAATCGAGGCAAGAGAAGAATAAAGAATGAATCGTCATAAGCGACTAAACACCTAACCAATATATAAAGGACCGGGGTAGGATATAGAAGACAATAATGAGATAACTAAGAAGTATTGAACGTTAACCAATGCGAGCTTTAGACAAAAAGTGGGGGTTAATCACGAACCCTCCTCCGCTTGACCAACCCGATAATAAGAGCAGCACATTTCAATAGCATTGACGTACAACGTGAGCTACGAATGACCTGGGGACTAGAAATGGCGGGGGGCGATTACGGACCCTCACTTCGCCTTATGCCTCATTTTGAGAACTTATCAATGGGGAATAGGAATGGAACACCTTTATCAAAGTCTCTGGCACAAATGTAAACAAACTGAATTGTAAACAAGCAAGCTCACATAGGAATTTATTTCTAAAGGTCTTTTTAAAACAACATTGCCCACTTAAAGTAGGGACTCCCAGTCATGCATCTCTATTCCTACCTCTCATGGCATCAGAAAAGCAGTAAATAATCATGCATCTCTATTCCTACTTCTCATGGCATTAGAAAAGCAGTAAATGATACAGAATGAAAAATAGGTCAAGAATATACCAAACAGATAACAATCCGTATGTGCTAAGCAGCAGCAAAATAAACCCGAGAACTTCGCAATCCGCTAGCATCAACAACAAAATAATCAGAAATCCGACACGCAGAATATGGATCAAAGCACTGATGTGAAAATAAATCACAATGTGGAATGTGTATCGAACACATTCGAATATCAATTAGTACACATGTACAAGATATCAATCCTGACAAGCAATAACAATATAATACATAATGTATATCATACACATCCGAATATCAATCAGTACTGAAACAACCGACTGAAAATCCTCAAATAATGAAGTCGCCATTGAACGTCTTTTATCCCACATGTAGGGAAAGGTAAACATCGAGAAAACCTGAGAAGGGTGAAATCAAGGTCGAATGACCAACAGGTAAGGGTAAGGGAGTCTGTTACGCGAGGGGAAGGTATTATCACCCCACACGCCCGTAGTACTCTACGGTATCCACTCTTGTTGTTCTAATCAAAGGGTGTGTTTAATCTATGCTTACTGTTTACTATACTACTTGTTGTACCCCAAAATTTGCCCTCCCATATTCTTCAAGATTTGCAAAGATTTTGCTTCAAAATCTCTCAAGGGTTGCACAGTTCAAGGGCCTCCTAACAGTCAAAAACTAGGGTTTTGGTTCTGTCAAAGAAGTTGAGGTTTCCAAGGGTCCAAACAAAGTCCCACATGCCTACAAACATTGTCAAGTATCCTCATGTCAAGTCTCAAGACTCACAGCACAAAATTGCACAGTCAAAAACCCTAATTGCTCAACAGTCAACTGCAGGGGCAAAATGGTCATTTGACAGTCAAAAGTCCAAATTTTTGGTCAACATCTTATTTTGAAGCCACAAACATCATTTGATCAATTCTTGATCATGATTCTCAAGGCATGGCTCAAAAAGTCTCAAGATGCAAAAGTTTCCATATTTGGACAGTTGAAAAAGTCAACTGTAATTTGACCAAGGCATAACTTCCACATGGTTCATCAGAAAAATTCCATCCAAATCTCATTTTGAAGAGAAAGACATTTCCTACAACTCTTCTTCACA